ATTTGATCAACACGTCGAAAACTTACGAGAGATTTTCACAAGACTTCGGGTGGCAAATTTAAAACTGAACGTTAAAAAGTGCAGGTTATTTTCTAAAGAAGTTAACTATTTGGGACATGTGGTATCTTCAGATGGAGTTCGAACCGATCCCAGCAAGATAGAAATTGTGAAAGACTGGCCAACTCCAAAGGATAAAAATTAATTGCGCAGTTTTCTGGGATTGGCAACGTACTATCAACGTTTTGTAAAGGATTTTGCAAAAGTTGCCAGACCTCTCCACCAACTTACCGAGAAGGACCGAGTTTTCAACTGGAATACCCTATGCAACTCAGCATTTGAAAAGTTAAAAGTTGAACTATGTGATGCTCCTTTGCTAGCATATCCAGTTCGTGGCAAGACGTTCGTGTTAGATACTGATGCAAGTAACAACGGAATCGGAGCCGTTTTGTCACAGCATATAGACGGAGAAGAAAAGGTGCTAGCGTATTATAGCAGAGGATTCACAAAGCCCGAACAAAACTATTGTGTGACCAGGAAAGAGTTACTAGCAATAGTCAATGCAACAAAACACTTCCACAAGTACCTTTATGGACAGAAATTTCTTCTCCGAACTGATCATGCAGCGTTAACATGGCTCCTCAATTTCAAGGATCTTGAAGGACAGATGGCCCGATGGTTGGAGCGTTTACAAATGTACGACTTCGAGATCGTGCACCGCAAAGAAACAACTCATAGTAATGCTGATGCTTTCTCACGTCGACCATGTTTACCAGGATGCAAATATTGCTGTCGTCACGAGGAGAAGATACAATCGGAAGACATAAGAGCAACATCAATATCAGCGGATGACGGTTGGACACCGACGGATCTTGCTGATGCACAATTTGCGGATGAGGACCTACAACATCTGATCACATGGAAGAAGGAGGGCAAGCGACCGGACTGGCAAAGCATCTTAGAATATAGTGCCGTGTTAAATGGTTATTAGGTTCAGTGGGACTCGTTGTATTTGGAAGGGGATTTGCTGAAACGAAAATGGGAATCAGCTGATGGATCAAAACACCGCATGCAAGTTGTAATACCAAAAAGTAGAACGACCAAAATCCTTGATGAAATGCATGGCGGCCCTTCTGGGGGACTATTAGGAGTGAACAAAACCCTTGACAAAATACGAGAAGGATTCTACTGGCTTCACGTTAGAGAAGATTTAGAGAGCTGGTGTCGAAAATGTAACACATGCGTTTCAGCCAAAGGACCCAAAAGAAGGCTAAAAGGAGCAATGCAAATCTACAATGTTGGTGTTCCCTTTGAATGGATTGCTATAGATATTGCTGGACCCTTTCCGGTATCAGATTATGAAAACCGTTACATTCTGGTTGTAGCGAACTATTTCAGCAAATGGCCTGAGGTGTTTCCAATACCCAACCATGAAGCATGTACCGTCGCTGAGGAAATTGTACTCAATTGGATTAGTCGATATGGTGTCCCATTGGAACTCCACTCAGATAAAGGTCGAAATTTTGAGTCACAACTGTTTGGTGAAATGTGCAAGCTGCTGGGTATAAACAAAACTCGAACGACACCTCTTCACCCACAGTCTGACGATATGGTGGAACGATTTAACCAAACCCTGATTGAACATCTGGCTAAAGTAGTCGTCATATACTATTGTTTCTTATGGCATATCGGAGTGCTATCCACACAACTACTGGAGAAACGCTATCAAAAGTTCTGTTTGGGACTACCTTAAGAACTCCAGCTGATGTGAAATATGGCGTACCACCTGAACCACACCAACCATTAACAGAATACGTGGATAATCTTCTACAGCGATTAAACCATATCCACCGTTACGTACGCCTTAAAATTATGAAAAAAACGGAGGCGGCCAAAACCAGATACGGCTTGAAAGGAAGCAGTGGCGGTTTTGCTCTCGACGAGTTAGTTTGGCTGTACAACCCACAGCGAAAGAAAGGACGTTCTCCAAAGCTCCAGCGAGGGTGGGAAGGACCTTATCAAGTCATCACCCGCTTGAATGACGTCTTCTACCGTATTCAGGAATATCGGAAGCCGAGAGCAAGAATGAAGATCGTTCATTTGGATAGACTGGCTCCGTACCATGCGGACACCGGAACGAAAGCTGTTCGGGACGAACAGAACTAAGAAGGGGGTAATGTTATAACCGTGGTACCGAACGCACTAGATTCTAGCGTATTCTAGAATGTTCTAGTGACTGGAGCATTCTAGACTAGAGTATGCTAGAATCGGACCATCTAGAAGAATCTAGAAACGACGCTTGCGAAGAGTATATAAGCGCACGTCGCAAGAAGATTAGCGATTAGTGAAATTCGTGATTTTGTGATTTCGTGAATAGCGATTCGGTGAATTATTTAAAGCGATATTTGATTTGTTTGTTGACGTTGTCATAGCGATAGATTTTAAACTATTTAAAAGTTAATTGTTGCGTTAATTTAAATTTGCTAGAAATAAACGATTAGTTGATTTCTTCTGTAAATAAAGCTTAATAACTAATAACTGTTTGAGTATTTTATTCAATCGAAGATTTGAACCCGTCGCATCGTAAATCGGTTACGACAGCGAGTATTATAACAATACATTTAGTATTTTTTGTCTTTCATCATTTTTGCCTTGTAGATTAATCATTCTTATAGCCAACGCACCTTTCCAATAGTATAACATCAGCGTCAACAACTTTTTTCTAACAGTTTATTTCGTCTTAAATAATTTAGCAGCGTAGAATATGGGGTAGGGTAGTTTTTAGAATTTACCACCAGTAACCTCAATTTCACGAAAAGATTGCAAAATTTTAAAATACTATAAAACTCTACAAGAAATACAAAAATTTTCAACTTCGTAAACAAATCTAATTTGCAAATCTAAATAAAATTATATTCTTTTTTTTGATTTATAGCAACATCTCTCGCTGCGCAGTCACATTACAACGAATGGGCATTTATGTTTTGGAAAGTTGAATTTTTAAATCAAAATTATTGCAGGTCAACAAGTTTTTTGCCCACCCACCTTGAAGTTGGCGCCTATCAGCCCCTAGAAATTCGAGTTGTTCGGAACGTAGAACGTAGGCAAGACAACTTAACAAATATCCCAGCTATTTGTTGGCGACACGTAAAGCAGCAACGAAAGTTATATAACTTTGCATTCAACTTTTTTATTTGATAGATTGTAAAAACTATCTTTAAAATTAACCGTCAAGTAATGAAAAACATAAATGTGAAATATAAAACACTTGAGTAGGTATATGTAGTATACCTATGTATGTGTAGTGTTGAAACGTAGAACAAAAATATGATGAATCGCTTTGGCTAACATCTAGGCCGATCTATCATAAAAATAAAAACCTTTGCGCCGTTTCAACCAATCAGTTCAACGACATGTCAACCAATCAGTTCAACGACATGAAAGGTAATCCTTTAAAAATTAAAAAGAAAGTTCCATCATGCTTGTGCGGTAGGTGTTGGACTGGCACGGTTGAAGTACTGTGGATGTGCGCGTCATTTTGCGATGAACTATTGAAAATCATTCAACGTAGTTTGAAAATATTTCTACAACTTTTTCAACTATTGTTATCAATTCAATTTTCTTATTTACGAAATTTGCGTTTACTTTTATATATTTTTGTCCTTTCTCTTCAACTTGGAAATAATTTTATATAAATGATATCGGAATTAAAATCCTGATTAGCAAATAAATTAAATGAGTAGCATCATATGTTGTGAAGGAATTGAAATAAAAAACTGTGTACCATAAATTCTAAGAGGCTTTATTTTTTCAACTATTCTGTTGTTATATCTTATTGAAAGTTTCAACTAAACCGTTTGGTGTTAAATAACTTTATGTTATTTTTGTTTAATTAATTTTCATTATTTAAACTTCATCCTCAAAAATATGATTGATTGACGAATTCTTGTAAAAGATTAATAATAATTTACAAAGTTTAAAATAAAGTTTCAGGTGCCAAATAAATCTGGATTAGTTGTTGGAAAAAAAAAATTTTCGATTTAGCTTTTATTTTAAAAAAACATGACGCTCCAATTCAAGTAAATTTAAGCCATACACCAAAAAAATAGAATTCAGCAAACAAAATGACAAAAAATTTTGTTGGGCCAACGGACACGCGCGGCAAATTTAATGTAGTTGCTGGCGTTTACAACTCGTAAAAATTATCCTGTTTAAAGGCAGCAGGGCGGATTAATGAAGATTTATGACGGCAAGTGCATGGACGACATGAATGTTCAGAACAAAATCAACTAACGATGTGATGCAGTCAATCAGAAAAGAAATGAAATGAAAGTTTTAGTTGTTTTTAAAATTTTGACAGTGTGACAAGTTTTGGACTTCACGTTTTAAAAAGCTTTTAATTCTTATTGAAGGCTGATACTCCAATCCTTCCGACAGTTTGACTTTCATAAAAGTTACTTTTTCTTCTCTTAAATTGATTCAACTCAATTGAATCCAAACCTTTTTTTACTTTTATTGTTAACATTATTAAATTAATTTTTTCATTATTGTCGTCAACATGGTAATGTTTACTGCTGTTGATCATCAAATTAATTTTTATTATAATTATTTTTTAATTTCATACCAACAACACTGGCCTAGCCAGTCTAATCCAATCCCGTAGCATAGAACCTGCATGAAGTTGTGGAATTTAACATATAACTTAGGCAGTTTCATATTTATTACTTTAATGAATAAATTTCAAACGCACCCACGTGACGTGTTGTGGCGTCAAAAATAAAAATGTTCAGTTTACTTTAGTTGATTTATGTTACTCGTTAATATTGTTTGGCACAGTTGTACGATAAAAAGTTTATGTGTACTGTATGTTATGTATGCATGCATGTTTGTATGTATATATGTATGTATGTATGTATGTATGTATGTATGTATGTATGTATGTATGTATGTATGTATGTATGTATGTATGTATGTATGTATGAACCCGTTTTGATGAACAAGCCATGGTTAGGCATGCAATCGTTTCCAAGTTCAACTTATATTCATGTCCCTGGTCTCGCACAGTCAGGTATCTAGCAGCTCCATCAAGAACTCAAAAAGAACTAAATTTTTGTAATAAAAGTGAAAAGGTTTGTTTTAAATAATTACATTCATTAGGGTCACCCGTTATATTAATTATTTTTCCTATTAATTCTTTAATGAATAATGATGTGTGGTTATCTGTTGGTCCGAACGTTTCGATGAAAATCGGTTGAAATATTTTGCTTATGTTATTTAATGAAACGTATATTTCATTTTAAAAATTGGACGCTTTAAGGGCAGTGGTGCCCGCCTCCACTGAAGTGTAACCGATTTATCGGTCAGCCATGGTGTGGGGAAAGGTAACGTCCCAAACCGGGGACCGTCCCTGAGCCCATCGTGTAACCATCAGGCCTGAAGGCTTCTTCCATTATCAAACCCATGGGTTTTTTTTATAACTGGGATACCAGCCTTTTAGAAACATCGTACTAGGTATTCATTGACAGCCGTATGTCTGGCCTGTCTTCCAGGGTCCAGACGGCAAGAAAGACTATGTTATCCGAGTTCATCAACTCTTGCCACATATGCACACTCGTATTCGATGACGATCTGGGCACCAAGTCCCAAACCCAGACTCACGTGGACACAGGAGTCATCCAATCTAGTGCTGCAGGAGGTGTTGGGTAGCGCCCTCAACCAGGCGGAGACCAACTCGCTTTTGACACCATAATTCGGGACTTGTTAAAAGTGGAGCCATTCATTTGTAACAATCGGTCAACTGATCTATTAAGACATAAGACAGTGTTTTTGCAAGGGGTTTTCAAACGCAACCACATCTCCGTTGGTGGCGCGCCACATATCGTATACTTGCATTCTGAAGTTATCGACATAAATCCCATCCCTCGGCAACATCAGATCCTGGAGGGTCACCGTGGCAGCAGCAGCAGAAGCCAAAAAGGCAGAAGGTGCCAGTTCAGCCGCGGAACCCAAACCCAGGCCACCAACATATATAGGCAGCGTTCCCTGCAACCAATGTTTTTGATCGAGTGTTATATTGAAGATGGACTGGAACGCGTCACGGAGATGATCGTCAAAACTATTGAGGATCGAAACATCCAACAGTGGGGATGTTCTCAAAAAATAAACAAGACGAGGCAAAAATGCAGTTTGCAATAGAAGGACCATTGCATCATGTTTATTGATGATATTTAGCCTTTGGGTGATAAGTTTAAAGTTTTCAAATTTTTTAGATATGGATATGTTTTTGGCTTTCACCAGGAAAAATTATTGAGCCTAGAAAATCAATCTCGTTTTTTCCAAGAATTTTAATTGGATATTTAAGGTTAAGTGTAATAGGTTTGTTCATATACAACTCGCATTTTTCAAAATTAAGTTTTAAGCCTATGTTAATTTTTGAATTTATAATAGTATTAAGATCTGAATGTATGTATGTATATATGTAAGTCTGAATGTATGTATGTCTGAATGTATGTATGTATGTATGTATGATTGCATTAGTGGATTCTAGTTAAATCTCATAACGTTTGGACATAAATTTAAATTGCTCGATGTAGAACAATTCCTTTAAATAAAAAATTAATTTTTTTTCAATCTGCATGTTTTGTTTTGTTTTGCGTTGTGTTGGCTGTTTGCGCTATTTATGGAGTATATGTAAGATGGGGTTGTTGATGATGCGATAATTACTGATGATGGTGATGGAGGTTGTCATAGTGAACGTGTTGACTGTATAGTTTTGTCTAATGGCGATGAGGATGTTGTACCGGTACAACGTGCCTATGTTGCATATTGCATACACGTAACGTCTTTCATTGTTATTGTTTTGATCAAATTATCGACATGGCTATTTATTCCTTTTTGACTTAACATGTGAAAATTTTAATGAACGTAATGAAAGTGATGACGACGATAATGTTTTACATATTTTAGTCCACAAAAATTTATTGATAACTTAAAAGAACAAGTCAAGGAATTATGAACAAAAAGATGTCGATGCCAGCTGGTTTTAAATAAAATTATTTGAAACTAATCAATAAATCATTGTCTTTTGGCGAATTCTGTCATAAATAAATAAAAACGAGACCCATCAACATGGAAATCTTATCCGGCTGTGCGATCTGCTTGATTTGTTTCTTCTGTGCTTTCCAAACGGCCTCAACTTTTTGAAATTTACATTACATTCAATCTTATTTTATTTTGAAAATAGAAATAATTTAAATTTTATTACTTGGAACTCTTAAAAATTTTTCATCATTAAAAGGTATTTTAGCCTAATTTTGCCATCAATTATTGAATCGTTGAAAGAATTCTTCACATTTTCGCAATACAGTATAACAGTATTACCATAATTCAACACCGTTCTAATCAATATGGTGTGGCGACATGCATTGTGGCTGGAACATCGTAAACACTAACTAGTTAACTCATGTTGAAGAAAAAAATGATTTTTCAAAAAATTAAAGCTTAAAATTGTGAAATGATTTTCAGAACAAAGAACAAAAATGGATTAAGAATATTATTAATACTAAAGTATTAAATATATTTGTCGTAAACAAATCTATAAGCTTCCAAAATATGGCCAATTGTTGTCTCAATTGGATTTTCAAGTTTCATGGCTTAAATAACGAAATAATAATCCTAAGCTACTTGGAAACAAAATACTTTATTTTTGGCAAATATAAAAATGACAGATTGATTCTACTTGAGTCAACACGAACAAATTTTAAAACATTTAGCTGAAGATAGTTTTGCGGTTGGATGGTTTGATGTGACCGCTGGTGATGGAAGGCTTCAACGAAAGTTTTTGTTGAATGATTCTATTGACGACCTGATGAATTTCCACGTACCCCTTCATTGTTATGAAGGCTTCATCGTTGTTGTAGCTGTAGCCATCGCGCCTATCGTATCGTCCGTTGCTGCTGCAACATTGTAGTTGGAGAACTGTTTGGTAGATGTCTACTTGATGGTGGGTCTCCATCATTTCCAACAATGACAACATCGCCAACGTTTCGATTATATTCATACACGAGGCAGCGCTACCGAAAGCGAAACAAATCAAGTTGTTTTATATTCAGCAACAAAATTTTAATTATTTACTAAACGGAAATTTACGATTATTGAATTAAATACATAAAAATAAATTTAAGATATCATACGTAAATAACATTTAACTGTAAGATACGCACTGGTACAAAACCGGTATAGTTGGAGCCCCCATGTTTTTTAAATCATTTTTTAGCAAATTATACAATGATTCAATTTCGTCCAACGTCTTCAGTGTGTAGATCCTGATGTATCGATATTTCACATTGGCTTTCTCGTACAAATGATTGCCACTGGCAACCTCACAAACAGATTTTGTTACTTTCAAAATGGTTGCTCTTTCGCTAATAATGTTGGAGCTCGCATAAATATGGTGATCTTGCAATTTCTCTCCAGTACAGTTTTCAAGAACAAATTTATCATATTTCTTCACTCTCCCTCTATTAGGTACGAGACCTTTCAAGACCTGTGAAATGATCATCCTTGGCTTTTTTTATTAAACTAATTGTTTTTCATTTTAACAAATTTTTTTAACAAACGTTTTAACATCTTGATAAAAAAAATATTTTCGAAATAAATCTTTGCCTTATTCAAAGTGTCAGACTCTATTAGAACAATGACGGGTGTGTTTGCAAGCACACTTTCAAACAGCTCATCCCCCGTTATACTCTCAGTCAGTTCAAATGTTAAAATGGCGTTCGGTTTCATAAAACACTGCAAATTAGTTACAGTTTATTTATTGCTTCATAATGAAAAGTCTGTGGACCCAATAATAATGAAAAATGTTTGAAAATATAAAAATTTGTATCACCCGGCTGGCGTTAGTAAAAGGTTGATTCGCACTTGTAGTTTCTGGGTTGATGTAAATAAAATAAAGAAACAAATCAATGTAAATAAAAATAAATATAGCAAGCAATCAGTATGACCAGCAGAAAGTCATCAACACCGTGTGTACAAATTCATCAGAGGAGAAATATTTTTCACAAACCCATTGCGTTCTTGTAATAATCTGAGTCGTTGATGACTATCATCTGGATTTTTTTCGAATTGCAAGTTACAACAAATTGAATTGTATTTAGTAGATCTATTTAAAACTTAATTATATATAAATAATATATACAAAAATTAAAAGACTTTTCAAACCACTGATACGACATTCAAGTTTTATTCAAATTAATAACAGATAAGTTTGTTGGCTGAAAGTTGTTGTCTGGTATTTAAATGAGAAGTGATGATGTGCCTCGAGGTTCATAAACACATATTAAAATATTTTAATTTAAATTGTGACTTTGAAAAAATTTGTACAAGCATATGAAATTCAATTTGATGACGAATTAATTCAGTCATTATTTTTAACTTTTCATTTCAATTTTTTTACAAAATTGTTTTGCTATTAATCTTCCACTAGCTGCTAAAGTTTTTATTGACAATTTGTATGACTTTCCCAACCTACCATGATGTTGTATGCTTATGCATGAATGTTATAACAACGTAAATGAACATAGCGTGATACATCTAACAAACTTAAAACATCCAAATGATAAATTTAGTTAGAAAACTATTCAAATACTTTGTGCTGTGCTTCAACAGAACTCACAAATTTATTGTCACTGACAAATTTTAAAAACGAATCATCGTCAGCTGGGTAGCATGTTGTATGTCCTAGTATACTATAAGCTATCAACATTTTTTCTAGAAAGTTGCACTGAGCCTAGTAAAAAATAGAAGACATAATTTTTATTGAAAGTAGGTATTTGAGCAGTTGACGAAATAAAAAATGTTTCAAAAACCCTTATTACCTTTGAAAGAACAACTTCATTGTCTGGAGACTTCAAAAATGACAAACACTGCGACACGTCCACTGCGCCAACATCGTCACATCGTTCCAACAGAAAATCCATGCCTATGAAGGTACTGCTTCTATCAGCTGTTACGCTGTATAAACAATTTTCAGATAGATTGAAATGTGATTTCGAAATTAAAGTGTTCATTTAATAAGTTTCTTATGAAATATTTTAATTTATATAAGCAATGATAAGACGTTCGTTGTAACAAATGACATCAAATCTTCTTGTTGATTCACCTTGAATGAACCAATATATGGAAAAAGGAATTATTCTTCTTCGGACCTTCTTGCAAAAGTGTTTTCATATGATGATGAAAATTGAGAAGACTGCCAATATTTTCAGGTTGTCCTTGCTCAGGCCAGCAAGTGTACCACATGTGGCTCACAAACTTCTGCTCTGACATCTTGCAAAATAATTTATTAAAACTTATAACCAAATAACTTGAGTAATAAATGTGCGATTTCTACTCAAACTCGTCATTTCAGACCTACATAATTCACGGCAAAAGTTCTCAGTTCGTACGTTGGCCACTTGGTCAGATTGTGAAACCTTATTGAAATGCTCTCTTCCGTCTCGTTGTTGGTCGCTCTCAATCGCATGGTTCCTCTTTCAGGCCAATATTGATGATGACTTTTCTTTGGGATGTTATTTTTGATGTTTACGTAGTTTATTATATGTTTTTTTACAATTTATAATTTATTTATTTTTTATTTATCTTTTTACTGTTTGGTATATTTTTATTTAAATTAATTATTATTTATGCAGAGTTTTAATAAAAAATTCAGTTGTGCAAAATGTTTTTCTTCAAACATTTGAAACATTATTTTTCTCAAATATGTTCCCAATTCGTTAAATTTAAGAAAACAGGTGTGCGTCACTGAAAGCAAGATAGCCTTACTTTTTCAACCGAGTGAACCAGTATAACGACGATTCCTACATCATTGTCACATACCATCTTCTAGAAACTGTCTGCCAGACATTCTTCAGGATCTTAAAACAAAACTAACTGCATTTATTTGATAACTTCTTATAATTTTAATTTTTATTAAAAATTTGATAAGTTTCTCAATTTTTCAAGAAATATTTCTAACATTGGATAGATATAAATCTATAAGCATGCGGTCTGTAGCTCTGTTGTAGTCATAAAAGTTTAATTTAATTATTCAGAATGTTTCATACATTTTGAGTATATTTAGTTGAATGCGTGATAGTGAAAAATAAACCTTAATGTAACTTGAATTTGGAAAATAATTTTTCAGAACTTCATACGTTTCTTCA